GTTAATCATCCCCTCCCCCCCCAGTTTCAAAAGCTCGTTCACAATTCCATCAGCCCCTGCCGCTTTTCTATTCTTGAGTTTCGCTACGCAGTCCTCTACCTCTTCTCGTGTGAACTCTCCCTGCAACCCGATATCTCGGGGGGGGGGGGGGCTGATGCTTGTGTGGATCTCACCCATCCTTGCGAAACGGAACATGAATCCAAGCTCCAGCGACAAAAAAAAAAACATGAAATGAAAAAAAAAAAAAATGACAAAGCAAAACCTTGTCGCTGTCTATCATGCGTCATCCCCGTCGGCTCCACACCAAAAATAAAAATATGAAAAAAACCCTTTCAATAGCGGAAGGGATTTTGACCGACCAAACATGTGATAAATAGCACAAAACAATAGTAACAATAGTGTGTTTTATTTGTGTTTTGTTTTGGGTATTTATTGTATTTTCAGTTTTGGGGACGCAATATCATACGAATTCGGAAAAACCAGAGGCTGCGCGCAGAGTTGGTTGCCCATATGTCCATATCATTCACGAAGCGTACCCCCGCCTGAACTGTTGTAGGACAAAAAATAGTCACCTTCCCGCAGGCGAGCGACTGAAGTGTTCTCCGTAGCTCGCCGTCCTCGATGGCAGTCTTGGCCTTCACCTCCGCGAACGACACCTCATCGTCCGTGCTGAAGCACCACAGGACCAGAGTCTGTTTTTGGGGGCAAGAACAAAAAAAAAAGCACTCAGAATGACCGAAAAAGCTGAAATGAACGAATCGCGAATATTTGCATGAATGAAACTGCTGTGAAAAAACGAGTTTGATTAGCCAAAGGATCACGGGAAAGGGGGTGAGGACTGCACCCTAATATGGTCTGTGACCACGAAAGGCGTGCGCGTCAGTACCGTGGCATCGATCGTTGCAACGACTAACTGCACCCCAAAGTATCAATATACATCACCTGAAGCTGGGACACCGCGAGCTCCTTGCGGCCCTTCGGGAAAGCCACCTTCAAGACGCACTGGCCCAACACGGGTTGCCACACAAGACGCCGACCCTGGTACTTGTTCTGGTAGTAGCACCTGCGGTTTCATGCCGTTTTCGTGTCGTTTTCGTGCCGTTTCATGCCGTATCGTGCGGTTTTCACGCCGTTTCGGACCGTTTCGTGCCGTTCCGGGACACGGACCATGACGCCATCGACTGCCGCACATCGACTGCCGCACAGGAATGGGCCCGCGCTCGTTATGAACACATGATCAGTCCAACCGTGAACGGTTTCGACATGCTATTATAGTGTGTTAAGCAGAATACCAACAAATCCGCATTTCCGATCTTCCCTTTCTGATACAATCGTAAGTGTTGTTTTTCTCCCACACGGGAACCCGCGTTTGGGTCTCCTACCAAGAGCTTCGCCAGTAAAAATCTTCAAGAGATTCATTTTTCTCACCTACCTTCCGAAGTCATCTATATGAAGACGACATCATCATGTCACAGACACAGCGGGTTGTGCTGGAAAGTAAGTGTGACAGCCTACAGTAAACAACAAGGACACCTACAAGACCCTAGGGGGTACGGTATACGGTGCGGTGTACTGGCCGCGGGGTTTTCGGCACTTTGTATGGCATGCATATTCCATGAAAAAATAGCGTTTTGGGCACCTTGTACGGGGTGAATACTCCATTAAATAACAATGGTGTTTCTGACGACGACAACGAGCCAAGAACCAACGATACAAGACAACAACAAGAACGTTTTTCTGCCACCCCAACTCACCTGAAGCACTCGACGTGCTCTTTCATCTCGTCCGGCATTCCCACCTCCATAGCGGGGTACCCCGGCCAATAACCGGTCGTCAACACCTGATCAGTTCACGCCACCAAGACAAGGTCAGGTCAACAAGGCCAGATAGAGGGGGACAAGCGTGGCGGGTGGAGCGAAGATGATGCAGGTGCTACCGCACGACTACACACCTGCTAGTGAGACACGCGTACCAGCGCGGCGTACGTTTTGGCTCTGGAAAAAACGTTGGCCACTTTCTGTGTTGAAACTTCCGTCTCCATTGCATTGAGACCGTCAGCGGCATTTTGGACGGAGACGCTCTCAGTCAATGTCTATCGTGGTCGCCGGCAGCAGTGGCCTCGGCGGATATGGTAGATGCCATTCCACGGCAACTAGTCGCACCAACATCTCGTTTTTTTCGTTAGAACCGTTGTCAACACCACTCAACAACAAGAGACGTTTTCCCATCCAACACCGCTTACTGAAGCCTTGGTGACAATACAATGTTCTTGTACCGCAATCAATCGCCAGTGTCTCACAGCAGGCAGCATAGCTGCGTGTGCAAGCGTTAGCTCCTGTTCCTGCAGTCAGCATCAGCCTAGTCGTGACCGACATCTACCCACAAACCAAGAACCACTACCATCACTAACCTCTCCAGTGTATCCATGCACCCATGACAACCATCATCCTGCCGATAAAACAAAATCCCTACAAGTATTGCCATCGTTGTCATCGCCACACCATTCACTGGCGCCCTTATATCCACCAGCAATACTACACCGTACCATCGTAAACCGGGTAAATTATCGTCATCATCGTTATCGACAGCACCGTAAACCTCAGCGTACCATCGACCTCCCCTCTTCCCAGCCACGGCATACCTATTATCGGCACCACTTCCGTCCAACCTTACCACAAACCACTGACATCGCTGCAGGTCACCGCTACCATCGCAAGCACCGCTGTTCTACCAGCAAGCGTACCTGCACGTGCAGATCCATTTCCCTGCTCTTGTCCAGCTTGAAAACTGTTCGGTCGTGAAGCTTAGTCTTGAGGTGGTGCGAGTACGTCGTCATCAGATCTCGACTCAGGTCGATGTCCTTGAACATTCCTTCCAGCTTTGACGTGAACGCACTTCCGCACTCCGTCTTTTGCCAAAAACAAAGCACAGAAGAAGAGTGTGGGGCGAAGGTGCTTTACTTCGTTCACCATGTTCAACAACACGGGATGATCGATCCTGTCACACTGATTCGGCGTCACATGTAGTATTCCGGCAGAGGAAATGTGGAGACCACCTTCATAAAGGTACAATCTCCCCAACGTCTGTCGAGGACGATTCCCTCTTTTCACAATTTCAATGGTTGATGTATGTTTGCTAGAAAAGAACGGGCGAACGAAAAGAAGCGCCAAGAAGACGATAGCGCAAAACCATAGATTTTCTTGCTGCTGCCGTGTTCTCCGTTTTGTTCTTACGTCACATTGTCTTTGATTTGAAACGTTTCTTCTTGGTTAGCTGGCATAGTCTAGATGGCGTGTGGTCATTTACCTTGAGCTTGGAGATCATGGACCTCTCCAAGTCGAAGCTGGAGCTCTTCCCGAGCAGCAATCTTTTGGCCAGGTCCTTCTTGTAGAATGCTTCGAAGACGTCTTTCCCTTGCAGATACCTGATGAAAAACAACGTGCCAGGAACGTCTACAAATGAACCAAAACGAGGGCAACAACAACAACCACAGTAACGGCAACAAAACAACCAACAGGAGGGCAACAACAGCAGCAACAACAACATCAACTACAGCAAATATGACAACAGCAGCAGCAGCAGCAGCACCACCACCACCACCAACAACAACAACAACACAGCAGCGTAAGTGAAAATCAACTCCCACCTGAATAACACCATGACCCTCTCGAGGACGGCTTCCACCTCGTCGTCCGACGTGCCCTTCTCCCCCTTGAGCTTCACGTCCAAGAACTTCGCCATCAGCTCCGCCGGCCGGTTGTGTCTGCATGACGTCACATCAAACACATGACGTCGCATCAATGAATGACGTCACATCAAATGAATGACGTCACATCACATGCAAGACGTCGCATCAAACGTGTGAGGTCACATCACATGCATAGCCTCGCAATGCAAGTCAAAACCTGGTCTGCACTACATCAATCTTGTGACGTCACACCCACGTCACACCCATCACATGCATTTCGGCACTCTGCAACGCATATGACGTGATGTTAGGGCGGGACGTATGCTGCTTCGTGGAGTATCGATCACACCAACAGCGTTGCGATCCAGCACACCAAGTCATGATACATGATGAAACGTGATGATGACGTCACATCGTTTCACACCACGCGCCGACCAACGCAAGTCAGGAAGAGAGGCGCCAAACGTCTAACAAGAGGGATTGCTCTCACACTTTACTCTCGAATATAAACCTGCATTTCTACAGTAACCGAGAAATTCAAACAAAGTCCCGTACAGGTATGAACCTGCCCCATCACCGGACGATTTCAGATAGCATCACCATACGGCTGACGATAGGCATCTTAGGCACTATTCTACCTTGCGTTGAGGAAAGCTTCCCAGGCCTCCTTGAGCTTGTAGCGGTACGACTCGTTCCCGTCGCAGGCTGTGTTGATGCACTCGTCCAGCTTTGCTCGGAAGGCCAGGAGGTTGGATATCATCTGCTTGTCGTTGTCCTGTCAGTAACGACACATCGAGACACATCGAGACACATCGAGAAACATCAAGACACATAGACACACATCGAGACATATCAAGACACTTCGAGACACATCACGACATATCACGACACATGGAGGCACATCAAGACACATCGACACACTCAGACACATAGATGATACGAGCAGGCCAGAGTCAAGTCAGATCGAACAGGCATGGTGGGACAAAGAACTACGCCGCGAGAAAGACACAGAACTACGCCACGAGAAAACGAACCCGCATAGAAGTACTGTTCAAGCGACAAGACTGATCAGATTGGAGTATCTGTCCGGCGTTAGTCCTGACTCACCTTATCGTGGACTATGTAGAGTCCCTTTGATTGCACGTACGCCGTCATCGCTGCCTTGAGCTGAACAGAATCAAGCCAGCAAACCGCGATAGGGAGCAGCGACGGCGGAACCGAACGAGACAAGACGATTGGGTATTATACAGCAGGTCTACAATACAATAGCGTCTTTCGTCCCACAGCAACAACAACAACCGCAATAGACAACAAAAACAACGACAAAAAAAAAAGACTGAAACAGGGCGCTGAGGGTAACGGCTAGGTTAGGTTGCGACAGAAACAGCGAGCGGACAATGTCAGCGGTCCAGCGCATGCCGCCCGTCGTGATGGCAGGAGGCGTACCCAGCGTCGCAAGCTTACAACGACAACGAGGTGGTGCCTAGACAAATTGAGGCGGCGCACTCGTGCCGCAACCCTTAGAAACGCAGCTGTGGAGCACCAGCGACAGCCGCAGCAGCACCGGCAGCGAGAGCACCACGTAAACGAAACCATTTCGACGAATTTCATTCAACGAATTTCAGAAGCGGGCGGCGGTACAGACCAAGCAAATTCACGCAAAAACGACTCCAGGACGAACACTGGCAGAGTCGAAAGGAGCTTCCCGAACGTTATTCTGAGGGTGGTGATGGATAGTGTGGTGGTGCCGCATTTTTGGCTCGAGGCGCCGGCCCGTGGAGTTATCGTCTTGTGGGGGGCTTCGTCGGTTTCACCATTATGTACAATGCATACATGTGTCATCACTGCTGTCGCAACCCAAGCCGATATTGTGGTATCATCATCGCAGACACAGCGCTGCTGCTGCTGCAACAAAGGTCTGACATCACGGAAATAACGCTGCCGTCGGCATCCATGTAAGAGTCGCAGAAATAACACTGCTGCTGCTGTAACAAACGGTGTATCGTCGCAGAAACAACGCTGCTGTCGGCATCTCAAGGTTATCGTCGCAATCAACCGCAGCAACATGTACGTACCTCATCCAAGGCCTGTACCCGCTGGAAGAGCTGGTACATGACCTTCAGCTCCGGCAACCGCTGCGAGTCCATGAGACTGCCAAACCCGCGCTCCAGCAACGCCTGCAGTAACGGGTTGGAACACCCGGCACAAGCGGAGCAATAACGGTGCTCGCTCTCAGCTCGGACCGAAAATAATTGCTTGGTGAGGTCCACGACAACAGTGATCATCAGTTGATTGAATAAAAACGGTTCGGATGAGGTTGTTGGCTTGATTGATTGAGTGCTCACATTGAGAGTCGAATTTCGTCCACCAACCTAACAGTATCGTACACATCTACACGGCGGGAACACAACCCCACAACAGCAGTGACCGCGGCGCCGAGGAGTGAAAAAAAACAACGAACAACAGTCACAGCAGCAGCAGCAGTAGATGGGATCAACACCAGAACACACCACAAGCAGGTGATGGTACGAGCCCTCTTGTGTGTGTCGCAACAGCCGCAAACTTGGGTGGCATTGTGGTCTTGGTCGTGCCCGTGCCCATGGAGGGCATATATATTTATAGCAGATCTAGTCAAGGTATATATATAAAAAAAAAAACTCAACGAATATGGTCAAGACGACGATTTCGTCCAAGGTCGTGGCTGTCGCGACACACACAAACGGTTCAAGATCACAACAATCGCGAAAACACCACCACCGCTATGTACCACCAACGAACACCATCACCAGAGCAACTTACTACCACCACCACCACCAACAGCAAGATACAACATGCAACAAAACAGCGACGACCGCGTACAATCGTTAGACAGACAAACCTACCTGCGTGTGAGGCTTGAGGAGCTGGCTTTCCGCTGTGGTGACGAGCAGCTTTCGCGTCGACGAATCCAGGTACAGTGACGCTCGGTCTGCCTCCTGTAAGACCGATTCACACCGGACGCGTAGTCAGAAAATCGACGACCAGGGCAACACTGCCAAGGCATTGACAATAACAATACGGCTAACGCATCCAGCATCGTAACGGCGGGTAGCTGGCAGGGGAAAG